TGGTGGCAATTGGTTGGTGGCAATTGGTTGGTGACAATTGGTTGGTGACAATTGGTGGGTGGCAAGCGGGAGGCGGGAGGAGGAGGACGGAGGAGGAGCGGATCCAACACTAAAAACAAAAAACCCACACGTCAATGTGGGGAACAGTCATGCTGCGCCACGGCGTCTCAAAAGGGTTTGGGTTTGGTCCTTCGGCAATGCAGTTTATTGAAGGAGAGTCTTCGTCGAACAAAACAGGTGGGCCGTCGATGCCTGCTGGGCGTGCACACCGGACGTATCGATGCGAGTGCTCAAACGAGCCGTGCCAAGCTCCTTTGGTTGTGGCAATGTCGATCCGTTGGGTCACGTAAAAAATGCGCAGCTTCGCAAGCTCTGAATGTGAGAAGGACAGAAATGCGTCTATATACGTAGTACCCTCGAAACAAGAAACGAACATCCCGTTTGCAAGACAAAAGCCCAGGAAGGGTTGCATTGTCAGCAAACGGGCCTCCATGCAGCATACCCTTTTCATCCATCAAATTAGCTTCTCGCTGTGTGCAGTTTTCACAAAATCAATCAAATCGTTTGCCGGAAATGAACCAGGTCGCTACTAAGGGAGGCCATCGCTACTATCGAGGCCATCGCTACTAGGTTGGAGGCCATCGCCAATTAGAAACAAAGAAAAAGAAAAGGAAGAAGGGTCCAACAGAGTTTGTGCGGTTGGTTGTGGTGCCCAACTGCGGCTTGCTTGTGCTGGTGACAGAAAACAAGTCCTACGAAATATGCAAGAAACACACGTAGCAGTAGCAGGGAGCAAGTGTTTATTTATTCCGTATTCCCACCGTGCTGTTGTGTGTCCTCAAGGCAATGGCAACGATTCCCACAAGAAGGAACCTTGGTCTGTCAAAGTTTGTAAACACCTTCTGTTGCAATGTACAGCAGCGAACTTGGAGAGTTCATTCTTCACAATTCAAGAGTAGGAGCATGCAGTGTCCCGAATGAGAAGCTCTTCTCCATCGCCTCACTTGATCAAATTCGCCCTAGCCCTAGGCCACTAACGACCTACAGAAAGAGCCTCATGGCAGTCCCACGCCCTGCGGACTGTGTAGAGGCCAACATGGGCGCAGCAATTGCGAAATTAGAAAACTTGGTGCACCAAGCTGTTGTTGTGGCCTGTTACTTTCGGGAAGCAACTCAAGGTGTAATTACAGTGTAGCTTCATGTAGCTTCCCAGAAACTACTTCAGCATTGGTGGTGCAGCGCTCACTACCACTAGTAAAACTCCGTGCTATGCGAATACGAAGATGGTGAGAAGAGTGCCTAAAAGAAAACCTTGTCCTATTGTCCTCCTTGCGGCTTGAGAGCTTAACTTTGCAAACGAACATCTGCTCCCTTCTGCAAGTGTGACAATTTAGAAAAAAAACCTGAAGCATGCACATGCATCGACCAAAAGAACAGTGTCCAGAACTTGTGCACCACGGCGCAACGACTTGAAAGCACCTGGAAGCAGATTCTGAAATGCAATCAGTGGTGAAAACTCAAATTGGCCCACCTGCCATGACATGAGGCCCAAAGACAAACTGTTTCTTTGGAAAACTTGAAAACTTGTCTTGATTGAGAAGGTGTTCAACATGCAGCTGCATACACTGGCTCATTCAACACTATTCAAGTTTCAAGGAATCAACATTGGTGATCGCGATGTTTTTTCCTAAAACGGCTGCGGATGCTTTTGAAGATTTGCAAGAACAACATTCACATGCCAAGCATCACCCGAAACTCTGGACTTGATTTTCCACTCCATCAAATGCCTAATCGTGGTTTTTGGCCCAAGGCATGTAGAAGAAGTGCCTTAGAGCTCCTAGCGGCAGAGTATCTATCTACATGGGTGGAGGGTCAAAGCCGCTTGTGCCAAAATCTCAAAAGTAAACTTTGAACAAAGCCAAACAACAAATACAAATCTTTGTTGCATGATGCGCAGAGTCATGTTTCAAGGATTCTCACGCTCGCTTTTGGCGGAGTTGAAGAAGACTGTACGTGACCAGCTCTAGGACCTGATTGTGATGCGAAACAATCTTGGTGATCTGGAAGACTCTCGGCAACAGGTAGCATTAAAGAAGAACGTCTGATCCACGGCATCACAGCATGCCTTTTCTTGGTTGTTCAATTCCGTTTTGGCTTTAAAACGATGACATTGATACCTATTGAAAACAGGACTCCAATAAAAACCGCATTTAAATATGCAAGAGACAAAAGCAGCGAAATAGAATGAAGGCCCCTCCACGGCTTGATAAGAAAAATAAATAACGAGGGAGGTTAATTGTGCTGGAGGGTGTTTCGAGTCTTCACGCTTTGTGCGCAAAGTCCATTGGTTGCTTCTCTTTGCTCTTTGTGGACATAATTTGCGGTCTTTGTCTTGTTCAACTGAATTCTCGTATGTATATATATATGTATATAGCAAATTAAAATGCTCCCTGAGGATCGATAAATACTGTTTCCCAAAGATGTGTCAAAAGAAATGTTCTATTTGGGTCTGTATTGAAATAGAGAGACCTCCCGAAGACCGGGCCCCCTATTAAAATACACACCACCTTTAAAACAAAATGAACCGGTACTTTGGTGGAGCATGCCGGGTATCTTTAGAAAGTACACCAGCTATTTGTTGAGGGTACGTGGGGGGATTTTTGGCACGAGCGCACCGGGTACTTTCTACTGGCCAGTCTGGGTCGGTGAACCATACACTTTTGAAAAGCACACCAAGTACTTGTGGTAGGTCACCGGTCCTGTCTTGAAAATGTCTCAGTCGTGATGGGATGTCTCGGTCATGCTTTGGCGATGCCCCGGTCGTATTATAGTGTCTGAGGTATGTCTTCGTCTTCGTTATCGTGTTATTTTCGTGTGATTCTCTCTCTTCGTGTGTGTGTCTTTGCTTGGGTGAAGTCTCGAATAGGTAGTACCAAAGCAGAACCGAACGTAATACATGAGCGTTGCACCCCGCGCAAACAACCAAATACACCAATGAATGTGCACAACCCAAATTTGTTGCTAGGGTTATCTACAAACCGGCCTCTTTCTTTGGGGGAACAAAAGAAGGTTTGACCCACACCACATGACCGCTTTGCACCAAATGACACCATGGTGCGGAGCGGAAAGGGTGACAGAGCCTTCGGCTCAATGTCTCCCCCGTCACTGTTCTGTTGGTGGCAGAAAAGAACCTGTCCAAAGTCTTGACTATACATGGCCCCATGGTCACGAACGCGGAAGTTGGGTGGGCCTCACCATCAACTCACCATATGCGAAACCTAGGTAGGTCCAAGCAAGCCCAGCGAACATGCATTGGCCTTCCATGAAGCCTTCCATCTGGACACTATGACTCGTGCTGCTGCTCCAAACAAGAAAGGTCTCATCCTCATCAATGAATGGGACAAAAATACAACATACACCGCTTGCGAGAACAAAGCACGCATCCAATAAGAACGCCCTAGCGACAAGACTCTGCCCGTGCGTGGCTTTGTCACATTGCTACAGTGCTGCCTTCTTTTAGGGCAAGAATTACGCCAGCATACAACCCACAATATGTTTGACTCGGCGTAGACGTGATCTCGCAGCAGCTCCCTGCAGCGGCACTCTACAGCACCCTGCAGCGGCAACAGCGCCCCAGAGCCCCAAAGCGCAACACTGCACCAGCACGCATTCTTCAAAAGGGCACACTGCCATCAACATCTGGCAGCAGCACCCAGACTCCCGCACATAGGCACCTCTTCTTATACTTAAAGTGAGAACCCCGATGGCTCTTGCCATTTGGAGAAAATCTTAATAACAAAATCAGCACCTTCGAAAATGAGGGTGTCTGCCTAAGAAGCCGCTTTTGGACTCAGCTTGTTTGGTTTTGCAGCGTTATGTTTTGTACCTGTTGCCTTCTGCATTGATAAATAGTTGCTTCTTTCTTCTTGTCTGTGCATGTCCCTTGTATCTTCGGATTTGGTTCTGAGGGCCAAAAAAAAAGAGCCAGGAAAGTGTGGTCACTTTGTGAAGGTTCCAGCTGTCGGGCAAAAGCTTGCCAAAAGATTAAGGAGACCTGAAACACCTATACGTGCTTTGTGCAAGCACTGTTTAAACACCCTGAAAGCAAACTTTCCAGTTTCAGTATTCTCCTTTGTTCTCCACGAGTTGTTGGCTGTGCAACATGCACCAACAAAACTTCACTTTGAGCTTGAAACCTGGTCATGATGTCACCATCCCCATTCAACCGCAGCGCCACTCCCTGGCACAGCTGACCCGAATTCCTAAGTTTTCTAATGCGTGCACAACCAGCCTGCACAACCACCATTGCCACCATGAGGTTCACAAATCGGGCATCAAAGCGCACACAGTGCTTGCGCCCAAGCCTCAGCACACAAAAAGGCCCATTCCAGCAGGTTAGAAGCAAACTTGGTCATTTTGAATGCATTTCTCAGGACGCATCAGCAGGCTTTGACCCATGAGCGAGCCAGCATTGAGCTTGGAAAGCCTCTGGCGAACGGGACTTGTACCCAAATGCCACTGCAGCACGTAGCGGTGCTTTTAGTGCCTGAAGCCAACGCTCTTTCCAGAGCGAATCAAGCTTGCGATGCCCTGCACAAATCCTTCAGGATCGAGGACATCCTGCAACCCAAAGCGAGCCAAATCCTCTGAAAAACTATTCAGCAAATGTGTCCAATCATCTGACAAAAGTCCTCCGCTTTTCCACCCACTCTTTCGCTAAGCTTGATCAAAAGACTCCTGGGCAAAATCGAAATCATCTCAGGATGAGTTCATCATCTCCTTTCACTTTCTCTTTAGGTCCTCCAAGTCCTATGATTTCAATCTCTACGCGGAGATCTCAGAGCGTTGCGCGACCTCCTCTTCCGACTTGGTCAAGAAAGCCTCAATCAGCAGACTTCTCAGACTTCACTGGGCAGCAACATAGATAGGGTTGAACAGAAAAGGAAATTAGACATTAGAATCATCCTTATACCTCTAGTCACTTTTATCTCTAGCGCAGAATTATGTGAGCATTGCCAAATGTTCCGATAGGACCTGGATGGATTGATGGGAAGGGGTGGGATCGAGATCGCTAAGAGATTCTAAGCAAGTTTAGCAACGATGAATGACGGGTGGAGCATTCATTTGACACCCGGGGAGTAAACAAAAATGATCGAGGCACCAAAAGTAAAAACATATGTTGGGCGAAGGTCAGATGTTTGTTAGTAACATCTGAAATCCATGCACCACTGCACTCCAGTGGGGTTCGATGTTCATCAAGGCAGGTTCTTGCTCATTGGTGCGAATCTCTCGCCACCGAAGGCGAATGACTTGCGGCCAAACGAGGCCCCGCAGAAAGCGGGGCTAGTCAAGTCAAGTGGTGCACGGGATTCGACAAATGATGAGAATCTTGCACCAATAATGTGCTAAACATGCAAAATGTACTAGGATGCTGAACCAGCAACAGCTTGAAGGTGTGCTATTGTTGTACAGGGTACAAATTCCACAAATACAAATGCAAAGGCAATGGCAAACCAGGAATCAGCTGACTACATGTCAGTACAAATGATCTTGAATGAGTCGTGACAAAAGTACACATCAATGGTCACCACACAAAGCACAAATGGTGCCACTCAAAATGCGAGGTGATCCCTCAAAGTATTGTAGATCGAAGCACTGTGTGGTTTCCATTCTTCCTAATGAGGGAATTGTCCATGTCATGAAGAGATGTCTATAATTATAATGAAAATTCCCTCTTCTTTTATTTAATAATCCATGAATTTTATCTTTACCAAATTTCATGGTCATTCATGACTTATAATGCAATGATCACATCTTTATTTTAAATTAGATGTGAAGTCAACGACTAGTCAATTAATTAATATATGATGGTCATTATTTTCTTTACGGTTGCTCTTGTCCCTTTATTTGTTTGAGGTTGGTGGAGGATATGATTTCCTCTTCTTGTCACTTTGATGAATTGCAGCCTTTCGATCACCATTAGATGAGCTCGTGATCAGTTCTTGCCTTCACCATCATGGACAAATCATCTCCTGCATCACCATCTAAGTCCTTGGCTGACTGAATTGTAGTGAGCTGCACTATGCCAACAAAAGTAAGAGTGCGGCTATGACAAGTCCACAGTCCAACAGCACCAGCTGGACCTCAAACCAAACAAGCATGAACTGAAGACTTCGAAAAACCTTCCTGAGAAGCCAAACGCCGAGGGGACCATCAGACTCTCGCCAAAGGATATTTCCTGAAAAGAAACCATGGAAACTCGAAGAAGCTTCACCTGCCTGCAGTTTAGTAAAGGGAAGCTTCGAAGTAGCCTGGGTGCAAATCTCCATGAACCTTGGGAGCAATCAAATATTTTTGCGCTGCTCTATGGTGTTGTTTCTTTTTGAGTTTGTTGGCCATGGATACCTTTCCAAGTATCGTATGCACGTCATGTATCAGTGGTCTCACCTTTGCTAGTGACGTAGTAGCGAAATGCATTGTGGTTTCTCTTTCCCAGTAACTCTTCTGACTGCATAGACAGGCTGATTGTCTTGGCATCTGAGATCCTTGCAAACTTATGCTTGAAAATCATGGCCCAAAAGCTGTCAACCTGGGACAGTTGATGCAAGACATCATCACAAAAAAAAAACTCTAAGCTTAACCTTACCCAGTCAGGCCCTGGCCAGTATTCGCCAAGCATCCATCCTGGTGTTCAAACCCCAAGTGTATATATCTTTTTAAAGCAAATATATATATATATATGTATACCTGAGAACGGGGGGACGAAAGCCAGCAGACGCCAGACGAGTGTCTCTTTTTCTGGCGGGCGTCGCAGCACAACACACATGGTCGGCAGCTTGCGAGTCAGCGGTGCCGCGGATGCGGGGGGGCGTATGTAACGGTGATAGAGGGAGCAGAGAAGCAAGCAGGGCGGCTTTGGGATAAGTTTGGTGTGAAGGAAAGAAGTAGCGAAAGAGAAGTGCGATACGTTGTATGTTGATGTAGCTCATCATCACAAGGCAATGGCATGTGTTTGTCAGGCGCAGGAAGGTATGCACCCTATGGAAGTTGGAAGGCGACATCAGCGTTAGCGAAGGGAAATACCGTGTGAGTTCGAGTGGTGGAATACCACGTGCGGGCGCGCGGGGCGCGGGCGCGCGCCCCGCAAGTACGGCACGCGTTGGAAAAGAAGCAGTTATGTGTTTGTTACATTTGGAGTGTTTGAAGCTTGCAACGCATACTGCGGCACGTCGAAAAGGGGCATTCGCTGATTTTGAAGAGTGAACGGGCACGTCTTAGCCGAGACGCGGACGTTTGATCCCGCGGCGCAGAAGGGGAGGTCCAGCGGGAGTAGCTTGGGCTAGCAAAGGAGTGATGATTTGTGTGCCTATCGACTTGAGTGAGTCATGTTCTGGCTCGATCCAAAACACAATCTTTTTCCTTTAAAGGGGCCTTTATTAAACGATCCAAACACCTTCTTTGTTCTTCTCTTTCTTATCAACCTTTCTCACTCAGAGGCCTTGACTTTGGCACCTGCATGTGTAGATCTTTGGGCCGTGGACCCAGGCTGACTGGATTTGGCCACCAAGTCCAGCCAGGGCTGCCAGCAAAAAGGTGGCGTCATGAGTCAGTAGTATATAGAATTTATCTATCTATCTGCGGATATGTAGTCAACCATTCATGGACTTGAACTCATGTCACTTTCGGGTCTCTATGGATTTCGCGAGCTACGGGTTGTCCTGGGAACTCGTATCCTACATGCGGCTGCGGTCTGCTCTGTACATGGGCCCCTGTCTCCACTCAAGTGCTCAATGCCCATTGTCCAAATAGCCTCCAAAGCCCTTCATGATGCCAATTACTGATGATGCACTACTCGGCGTCCATTACATCACTCGCATCACCAGACCCCATTTTCACTGCTTTTCTGACCCTCGCTTGGGAGCGCTCTCCCCCACCAAGCTCTGGGTTCACCCTCTCAAAAGGTCCTTCTCAACGACCACCCCCTCCACACCCCCTTATCTCACTTCGTTCGCTCTAAAAGCTCAAGCCTAGCCTATCGGCTGGCTTTCGTAATATATCTTTAAGGGTGTCTTCGGCAAAATGCAGCACGCATCTCAACAATCTGAGTGTTTCAATAACTAAAAATGGCAGTGCTGAGACAATGACGCTGCAGAACCAGCCCAACCCTTCAGCCGCCTCTCCACTTCCACACTCTTGCCAGGTGCGTCCATTAAACCAGTCAATGGCTCTCCTTCCTTCAGGTCAAGTCCGCTCAAGTTCGATGGAAAACCCAAACCAAACACAAGCTCCTCAAAGCTCATCACCAGAACATCACGGGAAACCCACTTGTCAAAGACCTTCCAGCTTCTTCAGCGGAAGCAACTTGATGCATGCAACAGAGATCCACAGGAATGCCTCCGGAATCACCACACTTCTATCGCCAGCCATCTGCTGCTTCAGCCTACAGGACATGGACAACTATTGCGACAACAGCTGATGAATTTCCGAGATTTGAATGCTTTGGGATTGTGTTCAAACCACTCCTTCGTAGGTTCTGCGCTTCAGTCCGCAGGTCCGTTTGGGCCTCCGACCAGAACATTTGCATCTGATTCATCAAGAGTTAAAAAGCCATGCCTTGAGGAAAGCAGAAAACTGATGGAGCATGAGAGGCAGACCCAACCTGAAGTTGTTTGGCTTCAGCAAGGTCCATATTCAAGCAGTTTTCGGAGACGCCTGTCCATACCAATGTAAGAAGAGAAGCCAGCCAAGTGGTCCAGCACCTACAAGTTCCACTAGGCAGGTATCGGCTCTCAGATCGGAATAGGCAACATACAGATCGTCCCTTCCATACTGCATCACATGCACACGCATCTGGAAACGAGAAAAGGCCAATGGGGCGGGTCGTGCAAGAAATCTGAAGAAAGGAAGCAATCACCCATGTTGTGCGCTACTGTATGTGCTTGTCACAGGCCAAACAACTACAGTTCCTTAAAAGTCTGCCAACAATAAAGCAAGAGCTTCATCTCCACCTTAGCTGCAAGCATCTGCAGAAGACATAGCAACTTGTACACAGCACAGCTTGGGTGCGTTGGCCACCCTGGCTTGACACGTGAGCATGAATGCAAGGGACGATCCAGCAAAATGCAAGGCGAAGCAGGCGAAGCACCAAAAGGAACGATGTAGAACTAGAAGGCAAGGCATCAGGAGCACTGAGGAGTCGAAAGCACACTTTCAGGGTTGTGAGAAGTGAGCTGCGCCATGCTGCAGAAGGCAAGGACGTGCTGCTGAGGAGGTAAAGTTGTGTGAGGTCAAGGTGGTCATGGTTGGTAGGTTTTGGTCTGGTCGGGGTTCAAGAAGAGGATAAGGAAAGCCATAGTCAGAACATACGAGGTGAGGGTACACTAGAGTTCTGACAAATACAATGAATATATATATATATATACTTGAAATTATTTGCAAATAGAGTACCCAAAAACGACTGTTGTTGTTCTACAAAAGGACTACAAATAGAATAGAGTAAGAATACAATTGTTTGCACACATACAATGCGGCAAGAACATATATATCCATAACCATTATATGGTTGATCTTGAACTGGTACTTCAAACTGCGCATTGATCTCAAATTCTAAGTGCAAGTCCACACCAATTCAATTTATTTGCAGTTGCAGTAAGAATAGAATGGTTTATAATAGAGTGCTGTACAAAGGCTCCCAAAAATCATTGACTAACTATGGTTTGGGAATTGGTCAATGGTCCAACTATACAATACGTTTCAAAGTGAGATGACACGGGGAAACGTGAAGCATGAAGAAAGGATATATCCAAGAATGCAAGTTCATACAAAAACTTCTCGTCGCTGCCATGACAATAGAGCAAACCACAAAAACTCACAAATGCTTCTGCCGCTGCAGAAGCTCGTCGTGCACGTGAGCTCAATGGGGATGATGTGATGACATTGCCGCGATTGACGCTTTGGCCAGCCTTCAAGTCCACCTGAACAGCGCGCCGCACCTGCGGCGTCAACAGAGCATTTGTTGCCAAAGCAAAGACCCGAACTGTTTCGAAGTGTTCAAAAGGTGTGGCTCGCACTGCTTTCAACTTTACGAGGACCATAAAGTTTTCTTGCCTGAGGGTGCACAACCTTCACGGCAACCTTACAAGCTGGGCTTTTTTTGGCGATGTCGAACTCAGAGCAAAACTGGAGCAAACGCGACGTCTAGCTTTTCTCCGATGCTCTAGTCACGTCTTGCCTGCACAGGTTGAGTTGGTGCAGTTGAGCAAATACCTGACACAGTGAGCATGCAGTTGCATCCGCGTCCGACAGAAACTCTGCAAACCGGCAGACCCAAGAATTGCTGTTGCCAACACAACTGTTGAAATGAATCGATGGAGCCTTCACAAAGCCGTTGAAGTTGACCACCGAGCTTCACAAAGCGTGCTCCGGCCTGTAGAGCTAGTAGCAAAAGTAAGCTCATCGTATCGTACGCATCTTTTTTAAGGCCGCTCCCCCTCCTCCCTACTTAATTAAGTAGGCGCCTACTCAATTAAGTAAGGGAGGTACGGTAGCTACTAGCTGCAACTAAGCTACTACATAGGACGCAGGATAGCTGCTAGCTCACGCTTCTTCAAGGAAGCGCTCGCACTATTCATTTGGTTCCTAGAGTTCCACACCTTTGGCTTTGAAGATGACCTCACCATCTGGCCACGGTACACCTGGTGCTTTGAACCAAGCGGTGCAGCGGAAGTGCAGGCTGCATTTGTAGGCCTGCGCAATGCACCCAGATCCTCAAAGGAAAGAATACCAAGGACAAGGATAGATCGGTCGAGTCATCCATATCCTAATGCAAGCAAGACATGGACGTGCAGTCCTACAGGTTCTGGCTCGATCAAAAAGCTTCTGAACCACCTTACAATAGAGCAAAGTGCCTGATTAGATTCTTGAGTGTAGAGTGTAGACCCATAGACTTGACACCCGCAAACGACTCTGAGCACCAAAACGGTTCATCAAAAGCTTCCTGGAGCACCTGCATAGAACGGTGCTGTCAAGGTCTTTCATAGATTTGGCATGAGCTAGTTTCAGGATTGTAAGTTCAAGTGTCACAGAAAAAAGCTTGTGGCCTTGTGAGTATGCTGCAAAGGATGCGGCTCGGTACTATCATGAAGCCGACCGAGGCGAGAGCAAATGTCCTACATGTCTATTTGGCCACTCAGCCACTCGCTTGCGACACCCATACAAATCATACAAAAGCCAAATACACTGAGAAAAAGAAACCTAGGCTGATTGAATGGATGAAATGTGTATGCAGTATACAGTATACATATATCAACTCCTTCGCAGTGCTGTTGCATAATGGCCATGAATACTCGTTCAGAGCACAGCAAATGATGTATTCGGCAAGCCATTTCGGCATCTCCGATGTATCGCGACACAACGACACGACAAGGAGCACCGATCGGGCACGAGCAGTCACACTCTCACGGCCCCGGTCGTAGTTGGAGACGTTGGGGTCAAAAATTCCAAGGAAGGGAGACTGCGGAGCATCTGGGGAAAATGTAGACCACACGTGCGGCTCACTTGGACGCCACTAATTATGCCTGTATCGTTCTACAGATTGAATGAGAATGCCAGGACTCTTGCTCCATCCTGCGTCACTTGGGCTGTCAAGACTTCAACAGAACCACGTCACGGTGGAAGGTCCAGAATCATTGAAGGCATTGGGCAACATCTCTTGAAAGACTTTTCGCTTTTGCGTCAGATTTGCTGGTCCTCCGGAATGAGATCTGGTCTTGTGGCAGCCCATTGCCCAAGCCTGAGAAGCCACCGGTTTTCTCTCGCTCTGCCGTTCAGCTCAACTTCTGAAAATTTCACAAACCTTCAAATGTCTGGAGGCCCAACTTCACAAAAACTGGCCCACTTCGTTGAACCTTGGGTAGGGCGGGTAGGGCACTTCACTTCAATAACAAAGGAATGAATACAGTAAAATCACTATCATTCTTCTGCGAAGTCAGATATGAGTGCGCAGCTTTTCTCAATGCAAGTTCCCACCATACATCAACCTGAGTCAAACGGTGGTTCAAATGGAGAATTTTGTTTTTTTTGGTCTTCGACTGAAGAAACATATACCGTATTTTCAGCATACACTCAATGTCGAGGATGCCGCCCAAGTGCGGATCTCTGCTTGATGCCTCGCAGAGCGCAACGCTCGTGGCGTTCAACAATTCAACGCTCGTGGGGAATCATGGTGCAATGCATCCGACAACAGCGGAAGTACAATTCAGCAAACAAATTTGGCAGTCTCCACTCGCGTGACCATTGAAGAGCGCCTCGAAGTGTCTCCTTTGTGAACGCCCAAGCGGGTTGACAGCCCCAAAGAATCCTTGGAGTGGCCCATCGAGTTAACCCACCGCATCTTGAGAGGACCTTTTTTTTAGGCCGCTTCATGAGAAGTAAGTAAGTCGAAGTATATAAGTACTACTTGGGGCGAAATAGGCAGACTAAACTAAACCTACGGAGTCACTTTCAATTCTGAGGGCTGGTGGAACAGCTGTCGGCCCTACGCTCCCTTGGTGTTGCCAAGCCATCGCATATTTCAGACTTGCTCGTGGAAGACTTGGAAGAGGTCAGGATGATGAGTGGAGTGTGAGATTTTACCTTTCCACACTTTGAAGAGTTATCATGCTTGTGTCCTAGCAAGTGTTGCAGTATGCATTGGTGCTTTGGTGTCCCTCTCTAGAGGTTGGCCTTTCGAGAGTACAGATTCGCCAATTGCAGCGAGCCTTGACTTGCTCTCGACTTCAAAGATAGTTATATAGCCTGATAGGTTCTGCATTAGTGCTACTGTACTACTAGTAACCTGATCGTGCAAAGGCAATGTCGCTGCTGCTCATGGAATATGGCTATCCATGTCGTCTCAAATACGGACAAGAGGCTGCAACTTCTGCAAATAGGAGCAGTGGAATCAAAGGAAAGTAAAGCCACCTCAGATTCATCTCGGGTCTTATTCATCTTACACTGCAAGTTCAGCCAAAAGCTCCGAAATTGGGACCTGACATTAACTCAATCGCACGACTTGCAACCTGTTGCCATATTGGTTTGAAACACATTCAGCAAAGTTGCAAGTCTGAAAACATGTCAAAGCATTCCCAGGCCACCTGTACAAGAAACCTCACGTTGCTGGACCTCACAGAAGCAAAACTAACTGGCCAATGGTTCAATGTCCAAATTTTGCATTTATCACTGATCACCCGAAAACTGTCCTGGCTAGAAGGACAAAGAGCAACCAGGCCTTGGAGAAAGAATGGCCATTTCAATGTCTCAGAACAAGGGCAACCCCAATGATCATGCACTTCACAGGCCCAAACCGAAGCAAGGACAAACCAAAAGCCAAGCATGCCCATCTTGGAATGTTCCTTCGAAAAAACAACGACGCTGAAGCCACACACCACTGGGTTTACCTGTGTCCCTTTGTGTTGCAACATTTTACGCCAACACTTTCCGGTTTAACCCACGACTGCAACGACTCAACCAACTGTGCCAACTTCTCCTGCATGGCAGTCATCCACCAACGGGGCAGCCGTCATACACAAAATAGCGAACAAGGGAGCCTTTTAAAGCCTCTAGTAGTGAGGTCGTGGAGGCTAGGTTCAAGTTTGATTTGCTTGCCGTGGTGCAAGTTTGCAAGAAATCTCACTAAGCCAACAGCTGCAAAAACAGCGCGAAAAACCTGGCACCGATCCACAAACGCGCAACGAAGCAGCATCGTCTTGAATTCAAAAAAATCAGTCGAACTTCAGCTCAAGCCGACCTTGTTGCCATCAAAACGGCATTAAATACACAAAACAAATTTAAAAAACAAGGAAAGCCACGCACAACAGAAATACCTAATCCCACTGGGTTTGTGGTACAGTCACACCATTTTCACCCAAGAAGCGTTCACGAATCAAGAGTTTTCAACTTGCAAGCTGTGCACCAAACTGATGCGTGCATCAGCTGTTGAGTCACTCTGGAAAAGTCGAACACCCGGCCCAAGATTGCAAACAAAGTGAGATGTTTCTAAAATCTCATTTGCACGCAACTGTAATCGAGCAACCACAAGTTTCGGTTTGACTGAATTTCAGAAATGGTTTCAACTTGTTCATTCAGTTCTTGGTTTTCCAAATTGCAAGTTTTTCGGGTTGGAGCGTATTGCGCCGGCATGGATTTTCCCCTTTTTGTGCAGATGGTGTGGAACGATTGCTCTTCCACACCACAAGAAAGCAAATCAGACAGCTTCAAGCCGTTTCAGCAATGCATGAGTTCCCCCCATTCTGCGCACTTGCAAACTTTCCACCGTTGTTCTGCAACCCTGAGCCCACAACGCCTGTGTCACTGCTCGCTGACTTTCAGGGCCAGAGTGCCAACCTGCCAAGGATTTCGCTTGCAAAGGATCAACTGTCTGACATGCATATGGTGGTCCAATGCTCAAAACAGGTGCATTCGCCAAAGGAACCAAAGAAGAGCTACGTACCACACTGCTGTGATCAAGACCCTCTGCACATGGGGCATGGGAAACATCTGAGGTTCTTTTTGCGCGCGTGGGGCTGCCGTTATCGCAAGAATGCGAAGGTCAGCTGTTGTAGAGATTGAAAAATTTCCTGAGTATCAAATGCAACAGCACAAGCCAGACAACAATAAACACCAAAAACAGAACACAACACAACAAGAAAACCCACCAAAGGACAAATCCAGGAAATCTTGTGGATCTCATGGTGGGATTTTATCACCTTGCTTTGCAATGAACTCAATGTGAGACGAAAAACCTGGGCATGGATGAGTTGCTACGAAAGTCAGCTTTCAACAACCAAATTTACAAGTTGTCTGCTCCAACGAAGCGGACGACACAAGGAAATTGCACCAAGTCTTTAGGTGGTCCGCTGCCTGTCTTTAGTCATAATAACACATGCTGCTAAATGAAACATCTCTTGCAAACCCTTTCCTTTGAACTCCTCCTTCTATAGCATCTTTTCCTTATGCAACAATCAAGGCCCGCAGCAACAAAAGGAGTTGTTTGTAACAGGAAATCGACCAGGCCATTCACGCGTTCTTTACAAACAAGCTTATGCTGTCGCCCTTGCCAAGCAGCGGAAGATGCAAGCAGAAAGCACCAACATTGCGAAAAAGAGCAGACGAGAGGGGCTAAACGAGGAGCGCTGAGGCAGCCCTCCTGCTTCTGTGCTGGAGAGCGCTGCTTATGCGCACATCGCTTTCATTCTGTGCTCCTTGGCTGAGCGATGGGAGTGGGAGCACCACCTCAGCTCAAGTCAAGTGAAAGCACCCTTTGCTGAGCTGCTCAACTCTTGGAGGCAACTGCAAATCAAAGCCGGCTGCGCCAAGGACTGGGTACCCACCATGCATCATGAAAACAATATTTTTTGCGCTGGCCTTTGTCCTTACTGTTGTCTTCCGTGCTGTTGTGATGTGTGACAAGTGGTGTGATGAGTGGCGCCGTTGTACTGAGTGTCTGTAGGGGTACGGGCGAACAGGGTTGCCGCTCCACCGACATTGCTCGTCCCAGTCTCATTCAAATGCTTGGTTTCTGGTGCCCTCCAAGGACATGGTGGTTGAGTTGAAGCTTGCATGGAGTTTTGCAAGCGACTTTCGCTGACGTCAGCTCAAAGCAGATCTTGTCTGGAACTGCCCAAGACTTCGGGATGGTCCACTGAATCAGGCCTTGGTGTTCGCCTGGTGGCACCTGTGACCTCAAATGGCTCAAGGCGTATCGGCTCAAACTCATCGTAAGACGGTGGGCAGGAGGATCAATGTTTTTTCTTAAAGAGTAGAAAACTCCTCTGACGTAGCCGAGCGGGTAGGTAGAGTGACTCTGTCGTCTCTGATTTTTCCAGCGTGGCTCGAATCCCGGCTTGTGTCTCTTGCGGTGTCCTCAGACACTGTCTTGAGATTATCACTCTCTACTGGATTTGTTTCCACTGAGCGGTGACCTTAGTCACTGTCTCTGTGGTTACTCATCTTGTTTGGCACCATCAACCTTAGTGCGGTGACCTTAGTCACTGTCTCTTTGGATACTGTGATCTTTCGGAGCCTGCCTTTTCTTGCCGTTTGTTGTTTAATTTGGTTTGTCGTCAAGATGCTTTCGAAAGAATCTCTAAGTTTGATTGCTCAGAATATTTACGATGATCTTCTTTTAGCTTTTGAAGCACAAGGGGTTCTCAAGAAGTATGTTCAGTTCAGTGTCTCCGAGTCCCACTTACTCAACTGCCGTGTGCCAATTCGAAGTCAGTGAGCCTAATGCTGACTAAAGATGCTGTTGGAATAATCTCCTGAGTTAGTTTCGAGGGCTTGCAGTCGGCTTTACTTAGTCATGGACCACTTGCAAAGCATCTGATAGACCTGGCTGGTTCTATTTCGTCAGCCGAGTCCCCAGTCTTGTCGAAACAGCAGATCTGTGAGATACTTCGAAGCCTTTTCGTAATTAGGCTCAACGCTGACTAAAGACGCTGTAGTAAACCTTTTCACTGTTGGTGGCACCCTTAGGTGTTGCTGAGTTATTCCTGCACTTTCCAGCTTAAGCTGTTCGTCAAGAGCAAGCAGACTAAGTTATTTTGCCAGCATACTTACTAAAGCAACTTTTGGAGTCATTGCGCAAAGTATCTATGAGGATCTGCAGTTAGCTTTTCAAGGCCAAAGATCTCTTGCTCAGCACATGTATGATTTTGTTTCCTAATTTGGTTTTGATTTTGGTGGTGTTTCTGTGTCAGTTGAGTCTTTGTCAATTCGATGTTTCCTCTTGAAGAAGAGCCTGTCTCGGGCGGCTGAGCGATCTTACGTACAGGGAAGTCATATTTTCAGACCGGATTGCCTAGATAGCTGTAGGGCGGCGCCTGCCTGCTCATAACACCCACCTTTGGTGGATCGAGCTTTTACTTTGCCCTTCCGCACCGTGTTAAATTTGCCAGATACGCCAAAAGGGCTCATCCTTGTCTTTCCTTGCTTGTCCTTGACAAGATTCTTTCGAAATAACCTTTCGCACAAGGTTTCGTCCAAGGCATTCTTGACAAGATGTCTTGGCAAAATCTTGGCACGCGAGTGTTCAGTCTGAGTAAAAAAGCAGTGGGCTTGAAGCCCTTTGCGTCAAGATCCTCTATGCCGAGGGGTTCCAAACCCTTCACGTCAAGATCCCTGATGTCAAGGCCCTTGAGGCCATTCATCCACCAGTGGGCTCAAAGCCCCTCACGTCACGGTCCCTCATGTCAAGGCCCTTGAGGCCATTCATTCGCCACCAGTGCGGTCAATGCCCTTCACGTCAAGATCCCTCCTGCCAAGGCCCTTGAGGCCATTCATTCGCCACCAGTGCACTCAAAGCCCTTCACGTCAA